GAATTTTTAATCAAATGGTTTAAATATCTCTAATATGAGTATCATTTTTATCTGTCTAAGTCGTGCACGTTTTAAAATATGACCTTCCATACGCAATTTTCAAGGTTGACTTGCGCTTTTGCAAGTTCTTCCTGTTTACTTTAATCTCTGTAAATATTCGTCATAAGTGCTGATTGATTTTGTCACAACCAGTAACAATCTATATTCGAAATGCCATTTTCTTGAATATCTTTTGTATTTTTCTGTTACTACCATATTTTATTTTATTTCATTCTAAGCGAAACTAAACGAAAAAAATAAGAAAACAAATCTCACTAAATATTTCTACTGCATTTGATTTTTTTTTTGCATTTATACTCAAAGTAACTAGAGGTTTATTGCAATATTTTTAATCAAATTTTTTTTGAATATATCAATAGGTCTTCAACACAGGGAGAAAATCCCGCACCCAGAGGCGGGCTTCAGTTGGCCCCTAAACAAAAATGTGTACTAGTTCAATGAAAATGGACGTCACACTAAACTCCAAAACATATAAATGAATTAAAATTAAAAAACATACAAGACTGACAAAGGCCAGAGGCTCCTGACTTGTGACAGGCGGAAAAATGCGGCGGGGTTAAACATGTTTTATGAGATCTCAACCCTCCCCCTATACCTCTAGCCAATGTAGAATAAACAAACACACAGCAATACGCACAGTAAAACTCAGTTTAAAAGAAGTCCGAGTCCGATGTCAGAATAGGTAACAAAAAACAACAAAAAAAAAAACTAAGCAAAATGACAATGATACATAGATTAACAAAGGACTACTAGCAGTTACTGCCATGCCAGCTACAGACCTCAATTAAACTGATTGAAAGATCATGTCTTCATCATATGAAAATCAAGCACAATCCCTCCCGTTAGGGGTTTAGTATCATACCATCATAAAATATATGAGGAGAACATAACCCGTATCATGCCAACAACTGGTTTTAGAATAAAAATGTTTATTTCCGATGCAAAGACCCTATGAGAGAATCAATATTAATTCCAAAAGATGCCATCTTTAATAACCTGACAACAGTATCGTAACTATATCCCTTTATTTTTCTCATATTACAATAAGAAACTTGGTTTTGTGTTAATTCAGTCAAATCTTAAACTAGTTTTATTTGTCAAAGACTAATTTACATATACTTTTAATTGCATCAAATGTCGTCATTTTAAATGTAGGGGAAATATAAAAAATTCAACACGCCATCTAATATTTTGGTTGAAAATAAATGAAAGTTCTAAATTTTCAGGAATGACTATGGGATTCTCTGATTAATATAAAAAAACATGCTAAACAAAACGGATTAAAACTCGACCTAATAATAATCGTTGGTCTTATATGGTGTGATATGCACATATGGAAATATTCCGTGATATTTCAAGAACTCCAACGTAATATACAAAATACGCCACGTCGAAAAAATGTGGATAAAAATGACAGGGAACCGCATGACAATTCAAAAAGCAATTTCATAATGTAAATTATACAATCAAAAGTATGCAGTTAACACACAGCTTGGTTTAATTGTCACGTACGTTTTTTGGTTTTTGCAAAATGTAAATAGTTCAGCAACCACAAATTATAAATCAAAGAAAGACAAACAACTCCCCGAAGCTACTGACGTTAATAGTCGGGGTCTAAATTCTATAATCCATTACTGCACCCGTTTCTTGTTCTCTAACGTTCCTTTATTCAACACTATGAATGTCAGTATTCGGCAAATCGATGATTATTTTCCTTTTTCCGTTGATCATTTAGAGAGATTATGCATGTAGATTTAAAGTGCCTCAACAGTACAAATCTATTATAGTCCGCAGTTTCTAACCATTTTAAAATCTAATGCTGCATAGAATCTTTTTCATGTTATAGAAACTTGCTTTTTTGTTAACATGTCTTTTAGTGTTTTGTATCGTTTTGGTTGGTTGCTATTAACAACTTGACATATTCCCTTAGTTCAGTAAATGCACGTCATTTGGTTTCCTTTGGATAGTTGTCTCATTGGCAATTGTACCAAATCTCCTTACTTTTAACATTTAACCAATATAACAATGTTAACTCCATTTTTCGTTATATCCTTTGGGCGTGGGTCGTATTTATACATCCCGCCATTGTGTTATTGTGTAATGGTCATTTTTTGTATTCTTGTGTTTCATTTCTGCTTATGTTCTTTGTCTATAGAGTGTCTATATGCCATTTTGTTTGTCTTTGTTGACATATTTGTTTGTTTTTATAACACAATGTTGACTGCTGTACCCCAATTTTTGACATATTTACCTCTTAAAATATGTTCTATTATATTGTATTGTGTATTACATTGTTTTGCATTGTATTTAAAATGTATAATTGTTTGTTTGTATTGCTTGACCCTTATGGGTGTAATTTTGCAATAAAGATTATAGTTATTAATATGTCTGTTTGTTTTACTCACACATTGTTGTCAATATAAAGGAATTCAATGCATCTGTTTTACAAGTGAAATGTTTAGCTAGCTACAAAACCAGGCTTAATCCACCATTTTCTACATAAGGAAATGCCTGTACCAAGTCAGGAATATGACAGTTGTTTTCCATTCGTTTGATGTGCTTGAGCTTTTGATTTGATAAGGGACTTTCCATTTTGAATTTTCCTTGGTGTTCGGTATTTTTGTTATTTTACTTTTTACAATCTATTTACAACATTAAGATTCTCAAGATTTCTCATGACTTTATAAAAAAAATCTCATGTTGGCACGTTGATATTGTTAAAGGTTCAGTACGGGCTTGATTGGGAAAAAAAATTGATAGACATTATTAAGTAATGTATAATATTCGTATACTGTGCACTAATTTTGGCTGATTTATTTCTTAATTCGTATTAGGCAGCCTTTAAACAAAGGTTTTTCAAAAAGAATAAAAGGAAGCTAGCGTTAATGTTATGTAACTGCATTCCCCGCTTTATAGAGGATGTCATTTCACCGAATAATTCATTATCGATAGTTTGTTGATGTTTTTCGAGACAAGGGCAATCCAATCCGCCTTTGGGGATCTATGGGTAGGGTTTTCATTCTTATGTAGAAATATTCAAACAGCATCTGCCGATGGAGTATGTATCTTCCAGCTGATACAAAAAAGTAAAATAACAAAATACCGACCTCCAAGGAAAATTCAAGAGATTGTGCTTTTTAACTGAATAGATAAAAGGTTGCTGCTTACAAAGAAGTACTGAAATAAGTTTCCTAATTAGTCAAGATGAAGTCCTTGCTCTCATATTTGTATGGAAATCATCAGTACTTGGTTGATCGCCACCAAATATGTTTGTCTCCGACGACTACATATATATATACTCGTTCATAATATTAAGACCATTAAACTTTAACAAATTCAACGTATTGGTATTTTAATCGTAATGCGTATATATAGATAAGTATGCATTTCAATAAACCTTCCATACTTCTAAAAATATTTAACGGACGCTATCATGATTTGGTTGACCGTTATGGAATGTCTGTGTCACAGATGACCACGGATTTGTTTAAATTTTCGTAGCCACAATACAGTTCTGTTTTCGCTGACATGATAACTTATCAAAAGAAAGACAAAAAGATACCAAAGGGATATTCAAACAAATGTAATGAGTGCAACTATCAAAAAGGAATTTCACTTGTAATTAGCAACACGACGGGTGCCACAATGAGACATTTTATAAGATTTGTGTTGCTGAATATTTATCAATTGTTGTTTATCTCTCCGTTTTCTATTCGTGTTTGTCGCTTGTCTTTCGAATTTACATTTTTGATTATTTCCTTGGTATTTTAGTTTGTTTTCCAATCGCTCAGCTCCTCCCCAAAGCAACTTACTCTTTTTTATGCACGCTTCTTATGGCTCCCTTTTACTTACGAGATCCATATATGTTATGAATATGGTATTATCAAAACTAATGGCTCTGATTAAATACTAAAAAAAAATGGTCACGTACCAAGTCTTTAATACATTTGTTACAAACAGATGAACATGTCTAAGATAAACGTCATATATAATTTCTGATTTGCATTTATAAAGTTTTGGTGCTCCAATACACTTCTTCATTATCTGCTTATGATAATAAATATTAACCCTTGTTTTTGAAATCTTTTAAATCCTACAATTTGTAAGTATGTCCATCCTTATTATCTGTTGTTGGTTTGTACTTTTACAAACTCGTCTTTTGCACTTTAATCTTTTTAAATTACGTTATACATCCTTATAAATATTTGTTACACCAAGTTAAACATCTGTTTTAATAGATATATGTGTGCTTATTTCTGGCATCTCAAAAGTTTTAATATTTTAAATTGTCTGATATTATCATATAAAAAGACAAATTGATGTTTAACAGTATATTTAAAATTTTGTAGGATTATTGTCATCGATTCAGTTAGGATCTATGATATAGTTTTATCGGTCCAAGTATATAAATGACGTCGTTTCAAAATATATAATTATTAATCGATTAAGAGAAGTCATTGCATTTTGAATTAAGAAGAATTTATTGAACAAATTAAATATTTAGGACTGATTTCCGAAATTTGTATATTTTGTTTCGAGAAAAGTTGTTAACTCATTTTTTTCTTTGAATGCAGTAAAATATGTAAAACCTCACGAAACTGCTGCATCTTCTCATTTTCCTGACATACATTTCCTGATGCAGTTAAGTCTAGAAATTGAAAAAAAGGTCGGTTGAGAAATAAACTTTACGACACAGAAGAATTGATTTCAATTAACCGATTGTCAACTTTCCGTTTCTCTGCAACAATGCCTGCATATGCGGAACGACAGTATCAAGCGGAACAACGCAACAAGTTAAAAACACTTAATACGGAAAATCCTAAAGTATTCTGGAAGGAAGTAAATAAATTGGGACCAAAAACCACAAAACAAAACATTGATTCAGTTATTCTGAAGTTGATGACTTATTTCTGTCCAACATTGAACAGTTAATTGCGCAAATGGAAGCTGAATTCGATAACTTAGATTTAAATGAAAGTGAAGCTAAAGTTACGGATGCTACACTAAACGATGACATTAACATTGAAGAGACAAAAAGTGCCATGAAAAGGCTGAAATCAGGGAAATCAGTCGGAGTGGATAATCTACCAAATGAAATTCTAAGAAACGAAACCTTAGTACGTATCTTAGCAAAATTGTTCAATCTGTGTTTCACTAGTGGAATAGTGCCAAGTTTGTGGTGTAAATGTATTATATGTCCTATTTTGAAACCGAGCAAGGACTATCGTGACCCATACGGATACAGAAGCATTAGTCTCATATCAACGGTCGCAAAACTATTTAGTTCAATTCTTAATAGTCGAATTGTGAATTTCTTTGAAATTGAAAATATTCTATGCGAGGAACAAAATGGATTCCGTAAACTCAGATCGTACCTCGACCACTTATACAGCTTATGTACAATTCTAAGAAACAGAAAAACACTCAAACTGGAAACATTTATGTGCTTCGTTGACTTTTCAAAGGCATTTGACTCTGTTGACCACACTTTAATGTGGCACAAACTTATGACTGCCGGAATTCACAGGCGTATACTGAAAACAATTCAAAGTATGTATTCAGTTTTGAAAAGCTGTGTCCGGATAAACGAACAATATACTGATTGGTTTTCTATTGGTAAAGGAGTCCGACAGGGAGATAACTTAGCGCCGACGCTATTCGCCTTATTCATAAATGACCTGATACCTGACATTAATGCTCTTGGCTGTGGAGTCCTATTAGAAAATGACTTTTCACTCAGTACGTTACTATACGCCGATGACATAGTTTTAATTTCTAGCTCCACTGCGGGTCTACATACACAACTAAATACGTTGAACAATTGGTCGAGAAGATGGCGCTTGGATGTGAATATTGACAAAACTAAAGTACTGCACGTAAGGAAGGCTTCAGTTGCACGAAGCGACTTTGAGTTTAAAATTGGCGACAAAATAGTTGACTATACTTCACAGTACCGCTACCTAGGTCTTACAGTGTCGGAAACATTAGACTACACTGTCAGTGTAAACAAGTTGATTACAGGTAGCAGTCGTGCTTTGGGTTCCCTTGTTTCGAAATATTACAGTACAGATGGATTGGATTATGACACGTACACTAAACTTTTTGAAAGTACAGTCGCTCCAATTATGACCTACTGTGCTGGAGTATGGGGGTTTAAACCGCATGAAAGAATACCATCACGGATATATGCATGGGACTGTCGTTTTTCACGAAATCATAAGGATACGTGGTACAACAATATAAAGTCGATTATGAATGAAAGTGGACTTGATACTTTATTCAGCTCGAAATGTACGGATGGACTTAGTACCAAGTTTATTAGTAACTTTGCAAAAGACATGTTCATGCAAAAGTACCAGATCACATGGGAAAAAACCGTAGAAACTATGCCAAAACTCCGCACGTATAGAGACTTGAACACCACATATAGTGTTCAGCCGTACCTAAAATCAAACATATCACGCCAAGAAAGGTCAGCAATTGCAAGACTGAGATGTGGTATTTTCCCCTTTGAAATCGAGAAAGGGCGGGACCGGGGCATCCCGGCTGATAGACGACTTTGTAAAGTTTGCGGAACGGGGACCGTAGAAGACGAAAGACACTTTTTATTACATTGCCCTGCTTATTCATTACAGAGAAAGTGTATGTTTATGGACTGTCAACAGAGATATAACTGTAATTTTGATAACATGTCTGATCTGGATAAATTCAAATTTTTACTCAGTGCCGGTGTTAAAATAGTGTCAAAATTTATCACTAACATTTCTAATATTAGAACACAAACATTAATGAGAAAGAATTAACTACTTGTTTATTGTACAATTAAATAGGTATTTGATACTTATAACAGAAAATTATGAGAACTTTAGAAGTACAGTGCATCATAAGCCTATGAAGGCTGGCTGACATTATAAAATATGTTTTATATTTGTATTATTATGTTATATCAGGTTGCACTTTAATAAAACAATATGTTTCGATCCCTAACATCACTGAAGAGACATTAATTGTCGAAATCCGGATATGGTGTACAAATTTTTGCACCTCATGTTTGTGGTATCCATCTTTTCCACAAGTTTATTGTTTTCTGTTTGGTATTAAATTAATATTAAGATCCATTTCGTTAGATCTGGTGATCAATTTATTTGGTAATCGCCAATGGCAGTCCGCAGGGTTTAAGAACATCAGTTGTTCGACCTGTTAGTCAAATGCGTTTTGTTAAAATAGACTTTTTCGCTTTTTTTTTGTCTTGGAAATTGTTGTTTGTGCTGTATTTAGACCCCTCTACCAAGAAATTTGTTTTACATGCACACGTATAAAAATTGCGGTTTTTATTCAACGCAATCATAGGTTTGAACGTTGTTTTCAATTAAGACTTTTATATATATATATATTTCTCTAATTCTTCGTCAATTTATCCCTTTCTGCACCCATTGTATAAAAAAAATTTAATCAACGTGTGGTTCGTTTGATCTCAGTTCTTCATTGGTTAAAATTCGATTATGACGTAGAATTTTCTTGCTTTCCTCTGAATTTCCTATTGTGACGGCATGAAAAAAGGCGACCATGCCTGATGACGTCACATAGAAAGAACACATCTTTTTGCAGATCATTCAAAAAGAAGGAAGAAGTTTGCCTGCATATTGTTTGAAAATCATTAGAGAAACAGATTCCACCACCAAATCTCGTGTAATACGATATTTATCCACTCTCGACAGTTAAATTTTAAATATTTAAAACGCTCGGCGAGCCTCGCGTTTTAAATTTGAAAATTTAACTGTCTCGAGTGGATAAATATCGTATCACACTCGATGCAGTGGTAGAATCTATATATATATATATATATATATAAAATAACTGAATAATAGCCAACGATAAATCTTACGGGGCGATGGATCATATAATTATGATACAGTACACTACAAAATATAATATATAACCAGTCTAAAAGGGTACAAAATCACCAAAAAATAACAATAAAATGAACAAATGTAACTATATAAATATTTCGGATAACAGATATCCTTCATCTGTATGATCACGATGTAAAATGAATCTTATCAACCTATTCTGATTATAAAACTATAGCAATCTTGTTGAATTCTATACAAAAAAACAGTTTTACCAGAACATCAGAGAGACGCTAGTACAATTCTAAAATTTCCAGATTTTAAAAATTTTAGAATTGTACTAGCGTCTCTATGATGTTCTGGTAAAACTATTTTTTTGTATAGAATTAAAGATTGCTATAGTTTCATAATCAGAATAGGTTGATAAGATTAATTTTACATCGTGATCATACTGATGAAGGATATCTGTTATCCGAAATATTTATAGTTACATTTGTTCATTTTATTGTTATTTTTTGGTGATGTTGTACCCTTTTAGACTGGTTTTATATATATATTTATATATATATATAATAAAACAATATATATATATGTCTCCGAACTGATACGATATTCCAGCGTTTGAATTTTTTGGTCATAATTTCATTTGATTGCTGCCTACAAGGAAACTATTGAACTAATGCTTTAAAATTGTAAGTTTGAGGTCATCCTTTCGAAATTTTTACGGGAGCTATTATGATTTGGTTGACCGTTATGGAATATCTATGTCATAAATTACCAAGGATTTGTTCCGCCACAGTGATGTTCTCTTTTCATCGATTATACCATCACCGACAGCATCCTGTACTTGTCATGAGCTTTACGGGGATTTCCACCATTGGAGTAGGATTTGCCTACCCTTTCAATGTACCTGGGTTCACCTTCGAGTTTAGGTGAGGTTATGGTTGCTCAGTCCTTAGTTTTTCGTGTAGGGTTTTGTGAACGACTGTCTATTTGTCGTTTTTCTTATTGGAACATGGTGATGACTGTTTTTCGTTCTCTTAAGGTTTTTAAATATCAACCTTTGTATTTCTCTCATTTCAATTGCGCACATTAATAATTTTTCGCCCTTCTGTGCTATACATATAGCTAGCAGATTTGCAGTTTCTTCCTTTGGCGTTGTAATAGCAATATAGAAATTTGACAAATTTGAATTATTTATTAGATTTTAGCAAGACGATTTGAGAGTAATAAAACATCTATGCATCTTTAAACGCTGATTTTTACAGCAGTTTCAGTTTTCATATCTTTGAAGGACACATTTTTATTTACTCCAATTAAACACGTCATTAGAGTATATATCGCATCTTAATCTACATTCTCTTTCATGAGTTCAATCATTATACGCTTGTTGTTAAGCAATGAACGTTAAACGTTATTTATGTGACTTATGTTTCAATTCAGCTAAGGGTTAAAATGTTAGAAAAAGTGCCAATCATTTGTTAAAAGTGCAACATTTGGCAAACTCAATACTAACAATTTCCGACGGTAAACGATAAGAAAAATGATGAATGTCGCCACCAAGATCAGTATTTGATTCGGGTATCATTGACAACTTTGCACATAAATTAAACATTTGAATAGAGAGTATAATCCAGGCAGTCAACTTTCTTAAATTAAACATTAATTTAACAAATAAAACAAACATACACAGTACCGTGTGGAACCGAATCCGGGGTAAAATATTTGAAAATATATCATCTCGTGGGCAAAATATAATTAGTTTAAATAGTATTCATTATTGAAAACGTGATGATTAACATCAGAAAAGTACAATTATACTTGGAAGTCAAATATGTGATTTAAGACCTTTTTATAAATTCGTATCCAGAAAAAAAATATTCACATATATAGTAAACAATATGTATAACAATACATAATTACAGAAAATTCATCATTTATTATAGCATTATACTTTTTAAAGAAATCCTTTTGCGCCAAAAATGCGTCCTTTTGCGCCAATGTTACGTTTACAAGAAATTTTACATTAGCTTCACAACCTAGAATCGTCATTTACTAAGAGAAAGTTTTCACCTTTATTTGTTATGATTCCAAATTTATGTAACATTTCCCGAAACTGTTATTGACTTTTTGACTGAGCTCGTACCGGTACAGTTTCCTTCTCAAGTTCTCTGAAAATGTGTACTGTCTGATGCATTCCAAAGCATTTGATCCTTTCAATACGAAATAACTCCGAACCTATGATCTTATACTTTTTCATACTCACCTTCCATTTTTTTAAAGCAACAATAGTTGCATTTATTAAAAAAAACAAACTTTTAA